TTTTTGGTCAGGTCTCTCTGTTACACCTTGTATATACATTTTGATGGACGACTTTAAGTTTAAAAAAAAATCGTAAAAAGCGTTAAGAAAAGACAAATATTTAAATTATTTTATTATTTATACTAAAATATTAAATTCGATATTCAAGTATAAAAATAATGTAGGTATTCAGTTTTTTTTATACACACAAACATAATGAAATATCCAAAGGGAGCCTTTCTCATCATTATGATCTTATGAAACAGCCAAAAACAATAAATGTCCTTATTTAACACATGTTAGCAACTCTTCAAAAATATACTTCAGAATTTTTTATATTTTTTCTTCATATACCATACTACCTACTCTCCAGGTTAAAAGTTAAGCAGTTTTAATAATTCGTTCCTGAATTCCTGAATACTTAGGTAAAAGGTTTAAGTTAGTAAATCAAATGTACGATTTAACACAATGTACTACAATTTTACAGTGAGACTATGTCCTATTTGATACCTATGGGAAATAAGTGATTTCATATATGCGTGGCACGTATGAGATAGAAAAAATCACAGGTACTGTAAATAAAAATATGGGATTTTTATTTACAGTATGATTTGTTTAGATTAGAAAAAATATGCCATTATAAAATAATGTGTAAACTCTTTTATTTTGTTCAAAATTAAAATAATTGAAGAAAAAGTACCTACATAAATAAATACATTGTGTTATTCGAGTGAATAAATCTGTCTTTTGAAAAACTCTTGAAAAATAAAATATGACACAAAAAAAACTGTGTTTACAGAACAATAAAATAAAACTATAGAATATTTTAAACATTATATATATATATAATAAATGTGTTCTTTTACAATGAATCTACGGTCTATACGAGAACATTTTTCCTATACGTCATATYCAATCAAATAAATGAAAAATCTAAAAGTGTAACATAATAATATGTGTTATAAGTTCTTACTTAAGCTTGGAAATAGTTACCTACTTAAATAATTATAATATTTTACAATCACTAATCATGAAATGTCTATTTATAACTGTTATGATTTAATTGTACACCTAAGTCAATTGAATAAATTATCAACTAATTGACAAGAGTATGACAACTTTTATTAATAATAGTAAATTAGTGATTTATTAAGTCAAGTAAAAATGAAAAAATAAAAATCGTTAAAAATATGTTTTAATCAGAGTAAATTATGAAAATGTAAGTTAAACAACGTCAAGAGGGACTAAGGTACTAGAGTATATATTAAAGGCGTTTATGATTATTCTTGTATCAATGTAATTTTAAAATATTTATGAATGGGAATTCGGCTCATAACACGTGCACAAAGTATAGTAAACAATTTAAAATTCTATGTGAAACGAGAATGTAAAATTATACACTATTAAGACACGAGTACACAACGTGCTTTTAAATATTTTAATGTTTGACTGACATTACCCTGCGATGCCTCAGGTTACAATATTAATATTTACATTCAGTCCATTTGATACAATAATATTGCGAATCTACGTAATATTGATTATCGTTAGTGAATTCAAAACAACGCGCACTATTAAGTATTTAAGTATATTAATTTATACCTCTACGTTTAATTTGAATTAATTGTAATAACTAACACACTCGTAATAGACCAATATTACCTATAACTACACATTTATCTGCATAAAATCCTCTCCCCGGAAAAAAATATTCAATTTAAATTAAAAAGCACTATGCGTTGGATGCAATGGCTATCATAATTCATAAGAATCYAAATTTCGTCGTAGAAGGAATAATCTCAAAATAGAATGAAACGAAGAATTTAGTTATTTAAAATTTTTACATTAAAAAATATTAAAAAGGTAAATACAATATAACAATACGTATAAAGCAAAAAAAAAGTGGGCAAGTGGGTATTGCTCTGCTGTATAGTAGAGATGGAGTGTAGGTCACTATAATGGATATGTTAAATTTGAATGCAATGMCAGGTATCATTGTATACGAAAAACGATTCTGAATGGAGATGATTTGTCAGTCTAGGATATTATATTACATTACCTATATTTAAATTATAATATCTTTTATACGCGCACAAAATGTTTTCTATATTGACTCTGGAGTTTTTTTTTACAGTTATTTGAAAAAAAAGTCGTGGAGAACTTTGTGTTGGGTTTTTTAACCATAAGTATAAATCACAACAATTTTATGAATTCTCAATGATTTTAACCTATTTCGTAAACATATGAACTTTAAATGTTTATAAACAAAAATTTTGATTAACGATTTTTGATTTTTTTCTACTACGATAAGTACAACTTAAAATAAACCTTGATTCCCGTTTTTCGTTACTTTTTTAGGATTTTTCATGACGCTTTTGAAAACTACTGGAAATTTTTTATTTTTGACCCCTCAAAGTACCACCTCGATTAATTTTCTTTTTCAAGGGGGACTGAAGTCAAAAATCAAAGCATTATTTCTACTTTAAAACGTGATGATAGACGCAAAAAAAATAAATAAAAATACATACATCATTGTAAAAACAAAACAAATTCCTCGTTTCGTCCAGAATCTAAAAAAAAATATAAATTCAGCGGTGATACATATTTGTAAAAATTGTATGAAAACCCTTGCATCAGACTAATTTATTGAATTAAAACTTAGATTTAATTATTTTTGAAATATCCAGCACGTCATGGTTTGTATATGATAAAATTTAATTTTTATGTTCATATTTATCATATTTAATCTAAATTAAACTAACATCGATAATCAATGCAAATTTTTAAATTTAAATGCACAAATTTTGTTTTAACAAAATTATTAATACTTGGTTAAAAAATTTCGTTATTATTATACTTCAGTATGAATATTAAATTTCCATTTATTACAAAGTCTTATCATGAGCAACAAGACAAATTCATACTATAGAGAAATTTGTTAAATATAATTAAATACATTTGGTTATAACTTGTCACGGTTCTCAAAAAAATTTCGTTCATATCAAAAATTTTGTTAAATGAGAATTCGTTGTATGGAAGTTTCACTGTGAATTAATAATAGTTTATATAGTTGATAGTAACTTTCTAATAAATTTTTCTAACTTCTTATGATCTGTGGACTGTGATATAATATTACATTTATAGTAGGTACCTAACCTAGTAACTTACCTACACTGTTTAGAATTCTCCAACTTGTTATTCGTATACATAATCAGATTGTCTTCCACCCCATAACCAAAATAACCTACGTACACGAGTACACGACTTTGTTTTGATAATAAACAAACTTTAACATTTATGTATAACGACTTATGAGATTATCTATTTTCAGTCTTAATTCTTCTTGACATGCATAGGTACCCTTATGCACACACAAATAAAACCGGAAAGCAGTGATACGTGCTATTGACTATATCTTTTCAAAATAGTTTTCTCGGATACACATACACAAATATGTGTGGTGAACACGTAATGATAATAATTTATAAATATCTATATGCGATACATAACGAATAAGCGAAAACATTGCTATASACTCGAAATACGACTATAATATGATAATGYATTATTAATGTGTATAGCTTTTTGCATATCATCAGATTTTTATTTTCTCCATCAACCACGATAAATGAAGGTCATCGATGATCTTTAATGTCTATATCTAATATATATTTTATCTCCCAGCATATTTTTCCTCCGGCATCAGCTATATTTTTATTGTAATATGGAAAATAATATTTTCGTAAAATAAATGAAATTATATTCAAACGGTGAGAACACTGAGAACGCATATGTAGGTAATATGTACCACGTTATTCATCACCGATCGCTGAAACACTATACAGAATACAGATATGGTTAATAAAATACGTCGTAATTCGTTGGAATTAAATAATAAATCCATGGTATTAGGTGGGTACTCATTATTTCTATTATATTGGAGATTACAGAATAGACATATATGTATATTGTATATAATATATATATATGTATATGATACATTAACCTCAATGACATTTTTTAACCACTCCGTGTACAGCGCGAATTCCTCTTCCAACTCGTTTGCATCGCTATAAAGGTAATATTGCCTATATTCAATTTCAAACATTAAATTAATCGAAATTTGTGGTTATTGGTTTGTTTTTCTACCTATTGCCTATATTCATTGTGTTCAAAACATAATTCCCTGGCAGATTATATAAAATAATAATAATATGTAATCATAACGCCGCCATTAAATGTAATATTAAATGCGATCGCGTACAAAATAATACTGGATTTCGTGCATCACGAGATAGTAGTCGGATAATATTTTTTAAATATTTATTCTTACTTTTAGCTTACAATACCATTACACTAATATCGTTTTCATTTCTCACGTCTGCGCGTAGTATTCTAACAATATATACACTGCACGGTTAGTAGTACCTGCTGCTGGTATAAGTAGGTATAGTCGGTACCTACTAAAATACCACGTTCCATAATAAATTAATTTTTCGTACCAGAGACGTGCTCGGGAATTTAAAATAAGGAGTAAAAATAATATCTTAAATCAAGCCATCAGTAGTAACTAGTAATATTCCGAAATRTTTTTAATAGTTTATGGACCTGTGGTATATATTTAGTTAAAAATCTTTAAACATCCATCACTCAAAAAATATCATCATCGTGTTCTGCAATATTTCACAAATATAAGACTCGTTGGATAAATGTATTTCATACATTGAAAATATGACGTTTTCTGTGATTTACTGGATTACATTTTAATATYTTTGATTACAATAATTTACACTTTTTTTTAAATTTTTGCATCATCAGGAATTGCTGCTACGCTTTTACACGGAGGAAAAACTGCTCATTATGCTTTCAAGCTGCCACTCAATTTGAACACCATCGAGACCCCAACGTGCAATATTAATAAACAGTCAAATTTGGTGAAAGTTCTGAAAAAAATTCAAGCTCATAGTTTGGGATGAAATTCYGATGTCTCATAAGAAAGGATTTGAAGCTTTAAACAACTGTCTGAAAGATCTGAAAAATTTGAATTTACTGCTGGCTGCAGATTTTCGACAAACTCTATCAGTCGTACCAAGAGGAACTCGAGCTAATGAAATTGCAGTCTGCAATCAAGTCTTCTTATTTGTGGCTTCTAATAGAAAAAGTATTTTTGACCATAAATATGCGAGTACATTTAAAAGGAGACAGGACTGCTAAGCAGTTTTYAGAGTTACTCTTAAAAATAGGAGATGGAAAATATTCGGAATATGAAGACAAAATTACTTTGCTGACCGGATTAGGTACTGTTGTAAAAACTATTAAGGAACACAGTCAAAATATATCCAGGCATCGTAAACATYAAAGATTGACATCAAAAAATGATACAAACAAAATATTAATAAACTCTTTCAAAGCAAAATATATGGAATACAGATAAGTGAATTAAGTACTGGGAGTAGATGACGCAGTTAATTATCCAGTTGAATTTCTCAATTCACTCAACCCTTCAGGATTTCCGCTACATTTATTAATATTGAAAATTAGTTGCCCTATAATGTTTCTCAGAAATCTTAGTCTACCAAAATTGTGCAATGGGACACATCTACGGATTATTGGTCTACAAAAGAATTTGATTGAAGCTATTATTATGACTGGATTTGCAAAAGGTAAATCAGTTCTTATTCCTCGCATACCAATGATACCATCAGATTATCCTTTCCAATTCAAGAGAATGCAATTTCCAGTAAAAGCATGTTTTGCCATTACAATAAACAAATCACGAAGGCAAACCTTGAAATTTGCAGGGATCGAAATAAGAGAAGATTGTTTTTCACATGGCCAATTGTATGTGGCATGCTCCAAGGTCAGTATCCCACGAGTTTAGTATTTTGGCACCAACAGGAACTACAGCTAATGTAGTTTAGAGAGATATTATGTTAACGATACGAATCGGCTTAATAAACAATTAATATAATATGACATATTTTTTTAAACAATCTTATTTAAATTTAACTTAACTAGACAATATTCAATCTTACCAGATAACAACAATTAATAAACCGGACAACAACGGGATAATTCAGCTACCTAGTAGTTATATATTATGATATTATATATTCAACAGCTTATCTAACTTTTTTATTTTAAACAAAAATGAAATCAACAAAATTTTAAACGTTAACATATAAATTAATATAAAAGCCAATTTTATTTTAGCCAATTTTATTTTAGCCAATTTGTATTCAGTTTACTAGATGTCTAGTCATATTACTCATTTAAATATCGATTTTATTATAATAACATAAAAGGCGTTTAAATTTATAGGATCTATTGTGCTCCTTTCTCATTATTATGTAGACATGTAATACATATTCTATTCGTGTTAGTATTATAGTGTTTGCATTTTGCAATGTACTTAAATATTCATAGCAATACTTTCAAACTAATGTGATCGAAAAAAACATGAAGTATATTTTAAAGTACAATTATTATTATAAATAGAGAAAAAATTGTATCAAACAAATAATTTATTTTACAAATTTATACAATGTTAGAAACACGATTTATAATTATATTTAAAAACTRATTATAAAATATAATTTATTTTTAATTTATCACATACAAATTTTTAAAAAAAAATGTACTTGAAAATCACTAGGTATTACTCACGATGTGTAACTATATTATACAACTACTCATCA